AAAAAAATAAAAATCCAAAAGTATTCAATTTATTTTCACCAAAGTAAAAAACTCAATTATTCTTTTTATCTATACTGTATTGTTAACAATACTATTATTAGATGCAGTTGAGATGAAAAGATTTCAATTGCATTAGAATATTTTTAATCTTCAATAAGTAGAAACCCTCAAGAAGCGAGACACTATGTAAAAAAGGTAAAAAAAAAAGATGTTTTTTTAGCAAATACATTGCAATATTTGAGAAAATAAAAAATATTAAATTCATTAAAACAATATGAGAAGCATTAAATTACTACGATTATACAATTTAGAATAACTCTGAGGAACCAATTGCTATCTTTCATAAAGGTATTAAGTATGAGTTATTTTTAGCAAATACCTTATAATTCTGAAAAACTACATTAAGTTGCAATTGAGGCTAAAAGATTTAAAGAGGCATTAGATTTTTTGAATATGAGATATAAGAAATTCATTTACTTTTTTATCAAAAAGCATATAATTTATAATAACAAATATCAAATTATGCTAAATGCATTCCTCCGATTAAAATAGATTTTGATATTTCGAAAAACTCATGCGACCCAAATTATTTAAATAGAAATGATCGAACTTTAGTCAGCGTTAAAATATTTTGATAATCCAACTTAGAAAAATCCATCTAAAATCAACTTACTATTTTTAAAAGATATAAACCATTATTGTTTCCTTACATATAAGCTATATATTATATTAAATTATTTAAGTTGAAAGAATTAAAGAAGGATTTAAATTTTTTGAATATGCATTTTGAAAATTCCCAAAGAAGATTGCTTTAAAAATAGTTAATTTATGAAACAATGTTTAAACTAGAATTTGCACACATCTAATAAATCTAAATTAGATTAAAAAATATAGAATAATCATTAGATAAGCACGAACATACAAGAATTAATAAAAATTATCAATATATAAAAAAATACAATGTTAAAAATTATTAAACCTCTTCTCTGATTTAAATCTTTGAACAAAATTATTGTGTATGCTTCCAGGAGTATCAGTTGAAAAGGATGGCTGAGGTTGTGCCTTTTCAAATAAGACTTTTTGTTTAAGTCCTCAAATTCAAGATCTTTGCTTGAACATAAGTTTTTCCCTTGCCTGCTCTTGTACTTGTTAATGGCAAATAAAAAAGGATCTTAGATAACTGGGTGACTATAATAATTTTCTGTTAAATTTTTGATCCATTCTAAGAGGCAACTGTAATCTCCATCCTAGATTTATTGAAATTGATAAAACCATTTGAAATATGAGGTACAAATAGTCCATTTTTGAATATATAAGTAAAGGACACATTTTAAAAAGAATTTTGGCACTAAATTAAAGGGCCAAAATGAGAATTCATAATTTACATACTTTCAATCAATTAAAAATAATGTAAATTTAAATATAATGCTAGCCTTTTAAAATAACTCAATAATAAAACCATTCACTGATATATAATAAATGAAGCTATAATGACTCCTTTTTCAATTTATTCAATGCGATTTCATTTTTATAAAAGATTAGGTCCCAAGGACAATAATTGACTCAAAAGATAGGCTTTGATTCAATTAATTTAGATAGATCTCTAGATTGGGAATCATTGTACTAATATATCTTTAGGTATCCATGGATATTTATGAAATATTTTTATTTTGTTATAACCTATTCAATCTTTATACTATATCTAAGCTTTGTTGTAAGAGTAATTTATAAATTTAATTTACTATTTGGACTGATAGCAGAAAACAAATTGCCTTTTAATTTAATTTTCAAGTATTGCCTACAGTAGAATCAAGGATTGAGTTGTTCGCTTAAGCTTTCTGCATTAAAGCATCAAAAAAATCAAGTCAAATGTTTATCAGCAAAAAACTTAAAAAAAGCTTTTAACAGTAAAACTGAAGTTGGTAGAGACCATCATTCATGAATTGGAAGGATTAAATATATTTTTCAATTATTATTAATTTATCTAATTTAATTAACACTTATTACAATTCTTCAAGAATCCTAAAATCTTTATTTAGAATGAAATGGAGATGAAGTATTAATTTTTTTGAGAGGAGAATTTTTTAAAGATGAAGGAGTTCAAATTAAAGAGAGCTTGATTTTTGAGGTTAAAACGAATTTAATAGATGACAATTGATCTACAATAATACTATTTTCAGGGCTTGTCATCACTGCTAATTCTGAAACTTAAACACTATATTTAATCAAATTCAACAAATAAATCCTCACAGATAATATATTCATAGTTCACATTATAATAATAATTAGTTAGTTAAAGAATTTATGTATATTATATATATGATTCAATGATCATATGATATTTTTTTTACTTTTATAAAACCTTTTTCCATTTTTTAGTAATCTCTCTCCATTACAATCCATTAACCAGATTTATCACCTTATTTATATTCACCATTATAAACGACTTAATATTCTTATCTAAATCCCTCGCTCAATTCTATCCATCTTCCAATCTTAGTTTAGCTTGCTTCTTCATATTATCCACCGCCACTTTTATATATCGATAAGTTACATTGTTTAAAAAGTTAACTCCTAAAGGTCTCTATACTATGGGTTCCATCTACCAAATTTGTTACCGTTTTTATACTCACCACTAAAAGTCACTTAAGAACTACGACAAAATCCATCACTCAACTCAATCCATTTTCCAATCTTTATTAAGCTTTCTTAATGATATTCTCCACCACCGCTTTTTATATTATATAAGTTTACATGGCTTCAAAAGGCTCATCCTATATGCGCCTATATTCGATATTCCATTTACCAACTTTATTGCCATTATTGTAATCCCCAATATAAATAACTTAAGAATAATCAGAAAATCTATCGCTCAACTCTGTCCATCTTCCAATTTTAATTGAGCCCTTTTCATCATATAATCCACCACCTCTACATATAGTTAAATCATCATTATTACATTTAAATGTATTCATTCTGATTGTTTTTTTGGGATAATATATCCCACCTTCCAACCTTTTTACCATATTTATATTCCCCATTATATGTGACAATTGAATGGGATGTAAAATTATCTGTCAAATCAATCCATTTTCCAATTTTCAATTAACTCTCTTCATCATAGGCTCCTCCACCGCTATATTATTATTTACTAGATTAAGTTTACAAGCATCCTCCTTAAAAATTGATATTCCATCTACCAATTTTTTTTCCATTATTATATTCTCCAATATAAGTTATTTATTGTTTATCAGTAAATGCATCACTCAATTCTATCCATTTTCCAATCTTAATTGAACCTTCGTCATTATATAATCCACCTCCACTAAATTCTCAAAATATAATATACATTTCTTCGTATTTAGAGTAATGATAAACATCCATAAATAAAGTGTCCCATTTACCAATCTTCTTACCATCTTTATATTCACCAATATTAATAACTTATGAATACTTTGAAAATCGATCGCTCAACTCGGTCCATCTTCCTAATTTAATGGAGGTTTTATCATCATATAGTCCACCACCACTAAAAATTAACTTTTTATTATTTTTACATTAATTAAAATTTCTAATCCCAATTGAACCAAAAGTAAGCATCCCATCTTCCAACTTTTTTCCCATTTTTGTAATCTCCATTATAAGTTATTTGCATGTCATTATTTATTGCATCATGCAATTCAACCCATTTACCAATTTTAATTGAACTCCCCTCTTGATATGATCCACCTCCAATACTAAAAATTAAGTAAATAGATGATTACTTAATTAAAAATTTTTATTTCTAATTCTGCCTAGACAATATGTCCCATCGACCAACTTTGTGGCCATTTTTATATTCACCAACTTATACAACTTAAAAATAATCAGAAAATCCATCGCTCAACTCAGTCCATTTCCCACTTTTATTGGAACTATGTTCATCATATAATCCACCGCCACTAAAAGCTGAACAATAATTATTTACATATTTTCAAATCTTTAATCACAATTTTACCTAAACATGATATCCCACCTGCCTACTTTATTCCCATTTTTATAGACACCATTATATGTGATTTATGAGGTGTCACTAAATACATCACTCAACACAATCCATTTACCATTTTTTTCGCCTTACTAATTATATTACCCACCACCTCTAATTTAAATACATGATACAATTTATTACAATTATTTATTTTCATACATATACTTCCAAATGCCTTGCTTGAGGTCATTGACATATTCTCCAAATTCATAGACTCTTGCAAAACTAATAATAATAAGATAATTCTTACTCATAGAAATTGTTTATCGTTTCTTTCCATAAACCTTACTTTTTCCCCTCTAAAGAGTAATGACCGCCGACGCCATTCAAAATTTCTCCCTTCCAAGTGGCTGTCCATAATCCAACTTTATTTGCATTTTTTTCTAATTTCCCCATCCATTTAAGATGTTTTACTACTTCTAAATTTGTAATTATTTAAGGTCTGGTTTCTGATTCATTATGTTCAACCCTTTAGAATTATTAGAAATATTACGTTTAAATGATTTCTCCATTATATATATAATGAAGCTCTTGGCCTTTGTTTTATCGAATATGAAAATAGATTTATTTTAGTTTACTTCCAAGCAATTTCCAACCTCTATATTCTTAGTTTAGGTCTATAAAATACATTATTATTAAAAAAAATAACTTCTCTTTTATTTTATCAGCAGAAATATTTATCAGGATTGTATCTTAAAGGGATTAAATTCATTCATAATTGCCTTTAAAATTAAAATATTCAATACATATATTATGTGTTCTTTATATGACATCAACGATTCAATGTTATTTTCGGATCAATTTGAAAAATATCGTATCATTATAGATGTTTGTAAAAGTTTCAATTTGACTCCTCAAAATAAACAAAACATATTAGACTATTCTCATTTATTGATAAAACAGAAAATTTAGTTGAGGTGTTAAATAATACCTGTACATTTTTTAAAGTTTTAAACCATCTAAAGAGTATAAAGGTAAATTTTTGATATTCATCTTCATAATAGACTTCATAAAATCTTTCTTATTCCTATTTTTGATTATATTATCAATCTCCACTAAATTTATCACAAAGAATATTGGATATCTAAGAAGGAAAATTTTGGATCAAAAGTTTCCGTCTTATAACCTTTACCATCTTCACCCTAAATCTATATTCCATTTCCAAATAATTAAGAAGTGAATTATCAAAGATTTTCTATAAAACCCAACACATATCTCTGCCAAATTACTACTTTTATCTAATTAATATTACCTTGTTGCCCAATTGTCAATTGTCATTTTTAATTATTCTTTTTAAATATTCAACTATTTTTAGGGTTTGCTAATTTAAGCATATTTTCAAGTTTCTTTGCTGCATCATATATCACTATTGAGTTATATTACTATTTTAATAAATCTCTTTCTCCTAAACTTTCTTTTGATTTAGATAATAATCTATTATTACATTTCATCTTAAAACTATTTAGGTTATAATACCTTTAAATAATTGAGTGAAGTTAAAAAAATTATTAGCCTATAATGATATTTCTAATATAACAACATTTTTATATAGAAATTATGCTTTCTTCGGTTTTATTTATATTTTGGTGATAAGCAATGTATTTATAATTTCTTAAATTAAAAAATATGCAAAAAGAAAAATTATTCATCTAAAATGAAAAGATTTATAACCCAAAATGCTACGATGAAATAATATTTATTGTATAATTAAATCTTATTAATTAAAATCGTTATTAGAAATTTTTAGTAATAAAATAATTTAAGCATATATTTTTCCGTTTAATTTATGTTCGCCATATAAGTGTCTGCTATAATTAAGTATTTTTATCACATAAGATGATGATCTCAAATTTGTTAAATAATTTTATTTTACCAATAATATTTAATATAATTCCTGCTTTTGTAATAATTTCATTTTTTGTCATAATTTGAGTATGACTTTTAAATGAAATTGAAATTGATAGAGGCAATTATTATATAAAAAGAATCCTTGTGCCAAAAATATTCAATTTTATTGTCCATATTTTCTGTTATTATAAGCTAAATATTTCATAAAATGTCTACTTAGCTTATTCAATTCTTTGGTATAATGAGTAATATGAGTTTGCTTATCAAAAGAATGTTAGCATAAAAACCTCAAATAGATTGTTACCTATTAAACACCTTATTTTTAAGAATGAAATAAAAATGTTGTGCTAGAAAGGGAAAAAAATGAATTATAACTAAATATTAAATAATGGAAAAGATTAATAAATTTTGCATATTCTTTAGTTAAATAACAAGTGTTATTAAGAAATAATGAAGGTTTCTCAAAATTTATAAAACTTTATCTTAATGTTTTTTCACATTATTATAAGTTTGAACTAATAAGAAAACTGATTTATTTTATTTTATAAAAACTGATAAACTAATCCTATAAAATGAATAATTCATTATTAAAAAAGAATCCTTATAAAGTTTTACTTTTCCATTAAACATTTCTGCATTCTAGCCTCCAAGCTATGTTTATCAAATTATCAGAAAAGGAGATTTCCAATAAGAAAACTAAATAGAATTATATAGTTAGAGTATCTATCTTATCATATTGATTCATTAAAATTGTATTATATTAATATCATATTGATTCATTAAATTGTATTATATTAATATCATATTGATTCATTAAAATTGTATTATATTATATTCGAATGATGAAATGAAAATATCCATAAATCTGGAAATGATTTATAAATTCTCAAAAGAAAGAAGAATAATTAATTATTTTGGCTTAGGTAATTCTATGATTTACGATAAGGCTAAGTATCATTAATCTCTTGGATGGATTAAAGAAATAATAATTATCAGATTTTAAAATTTTTTCTCCAAGGTGGAAAAATTATTAAGTAGTATAAAAACGCTCAAATTCACAACAAAATTGTGCTTGGATATTATTCTTGTTAGTATTATTTTTCAAAAATTAATAATATCATTATTATTCAAAATAGTTTCTGCTAACAGATGAATATTAACTATCATTGATGCCTTAAAACAATATTGTAATTAAAAATAAGGTATTTTCAACTGGATATTAGTTATTTCTGTTTCAATTTAACTACTCCTAAATCGACTCGAAAGATATCAGCTTTCAGTCATTATTAAATTTTTAAATTTTAACATCCACATTTATTTATCATTGTCCTTTATATATCCTCATTTTTTTTTTAAATGCAGAAATACTTACTGTCATTACTCATTTACCCATAAATACAATATGAATCAAATTGAATAGAATACTCAACTTTAAATTGGTCATCTTTTGTTTGTCTGATAAAATTGATATTATCGCCATGTTTATTCACTAATAATTGTTTTTTTTTTTAATTATTATGGGAATAATTCACCTTAATTACTATTGTTACAATGATTAACAGTAATATCTTTAGTTTTAGTTTACTCTTTACTTATATTATTGATTTAGTAGACATTCATCAAACTGCCACTTTCTAGTTGAAAAGTGAATTAATTATTGTTGATAAAGCATATGCGATATCCATAAAATTCAACTTTAATACTTTTAAAAACAATCCACATTTTATTTAATTTAAAGGACTCAATTACTAATATTTACTTATCTTTTCCACTAGAAATAACTATATTTTCTTAATCATCTAAACTTAATTAATTAATCCAATCTTTATGATGTGTGATAGTTTATTAACAGATCCAATCATTTTTCTTAACCCAAGATTTAATAGTATTATCTCCACTACTGGATATAAAATGATCTTCATAATTATTCAAAATTAAGCATTGAATTGAGTGATTATGTGCTTTAATTATTTATGAGCAATACCATTAATTAATGTTATTGTTTGAACAACTTAAAATAGATCCACCATAATCCCCTAATATAAACTCAATGAATTTTTTGATGAAAGTTAAAGGTTGTCCATTTTTGAAGTTGATTTAAGACTTGAATTTATTTCAAGACTACTTACTTGAATTCTTATGTTTTTATTTGTTTTCCACAACCAACTACTACATATGAGCAATCTTTATTATAACCAATTACACTACACCACTCAATTTAATTGACAGAATTATCTTTAATTATTTGATAATTAAATGATTTAAATTAAGATGCACATTGAATTGATTATGATTATGGTAATTACGATTATGAATATATTTAAGATGATAATTCTTGTAAAATTTGTTGACATTTTTGATATTCTTCATATAACCTGAATAAATTTAACTTACTATCAATTTTAGTAGACAAGGAATCATTTAATTATTTAATCTATCAATCTAATCATTTTAATGTGATTTTTCATTTATGATCGTGATTTCTAATTCTTTATAGAGACTATACCTCTTATAACTTTAAACCTAGTGATTATAAATTTGATATCCAATCCTTTGCGTTGTCAATCAATTGATCTAATTATATAACAAAAAAAGACTTCAAAATATTTAGATGGCCCAAAAGTGACGAAATTTTTGTTATCATTGGTTCAATCATTTTTTCAAAGCTTTCTAATTATTTCTTCTTATTATCTTCGATCATTTAGATGAGTTTGTAATATCCTCATCTTCACATCTGAATAATTATACTCAAGACATAATGGCATAAGAATGTTTTATTTAGTTCACATTTCTGATCTCGAACAATCATACAAATTGGTAGTTAATGTTTCATGGAACAACTAAAATCATTCTCGTTTTCTATCATTTTATGGTTTATACAATTAATTAGAATTTTTTATTTTATTGCTATTCAGAACAGTTTTGAATAAAAAATTCAATAATTATTGTAGAACTATTATTTGTTAATGATCATTTTGTATAAATTATTCATATACTATCTTTGAGTCCATCCATGCTGACTAAATCTCCACTTTAATTAATTTAATAGTTTTATATTATTGTAAAACAAAATACTTGCAGTTTCTCTTCTCATTTATTTTTCCTCCTTAATTAAGCATCGAATTGAAGCATACTTAATTTTACCTCCTTCCTTTCATTTTTTCAATAAATTCTCATGTGATCAAAGATAATATTTAAATTTTTACCGGATATAGATTATCATATATTATTTTATTTCCTCTAATTGAATATCCATAATAAATTAACACTAAAAATGCTTGTAGATTCGGTCACTATAAATTGGAATCAATTTGATGTAGAAATATTGAAATTGAATCTTATCTAAAAAATAAATAGGCAAAATATTAAAATTGATAGTCTATAGCTTTGAGCAGAATATTGTTAGTTAGATATCTACTTTTTTTAATATTTTTGAATTATATTTCTCATTTATTACTTGGTAATCATTTCATTCTTATGAATCAAAAAATTTGCTTTTAAAAAGGAATAAATAATTGCTTTATTTTCACAATAACAACTGCATTTTGAATCATTAAATCCTATAATTCAATTATTATTATGATTAAAATTTTTTTAATTAATTAGTATTTGACATTTATTAAGTTCATGTCTCTCATTGAAGACATTATTTCTTTTTTGCAATTGGAGCATCATATATTATTTTTTAAATAAAATTTTTTTCTCTATGTTGATGTTGACAAAAAGAAACCCCATGCATTTGCCTAACAGGCAACTCAGATGATTACACTTTCTTTTTAGGTAATTATCCTATCATCAATATTAATCTTTGATGAAGGGATTGAATAGGCTAATATCTATTTTCTGATTTAGATTCTTAATTATCGACTACAATATTTAGGGCACTTAATCAGAAATATTTCATCTTATTTCAATCCGTGTTACTATAGCATCTATTAATTGTTTCTGTTCTTACTACTCATTAAGTTTAATCATTTCAATTACTATATTTTTTGCTAGATGGCTTCTTACGAATAGTATATTGCACATCTAAAGAATTACAGTCTCCCTAAGAGTAGTCAATAATAAATTAAGATTCTTTTGTAGTATGAAGTCACTTTTTTCTATTTAAATTTATGAGCCTTCGCTGGATTCTACAAGCTGAGGAAACCAAAAACTAATGTGTGATTTTATTAATGATGACTAAATGAATGATTCTTATTTTGGAAAACTATTTTAAAATTGTATATCATTAATTAAACTAATGTATATTGATAAATGTTAGTATTTTAACTTAGATCTCAATTCTAAACCAAATTTGTTTAAGTTCTATCTAAATTCTTGTTTAAAGTCCAAGTTATAAAGGATATAAAATAATAGGATGGCAATATTAAATGAAGTTTTTAATTCTATTAATTAGGTCAATAATCTTAGCTCTGTTAAACACCCTAAAGCAATTAAGTTTGAGTGCGGTCAATAATAAAACAGATCATCATCTTTTATCATAAATTCATTCATTATTTCAAATAGTTTTCAAATTATTAGAAATAATTTCAAATTTACATAAAAAAATAAGAAAATTCTATAGGGAATTAGGAATTCTAATTTTCATTTCAAGAGGCAAGATTTAAACCTACAGTGTTCTTATATGGTTGAATAAATTCAATAAGTGTCTAAAATAACTTAGATAGAAATTATAATCATATTTCTGCTGCTATTTTTCTAAGATTTGATTCCATAGCTTTTGAATTTTTTATCCTTGCATTATCAATGCTCTACTTTTTCTTTGATAATTATGATAGCTTAGAAAGGAATTTATTATTCTGCTTTAATGTTATCTAACATTATAATTAACGGAATTTTGATTTCATTTTATCAGTCATACAAGAGTAAATAGTATTATTTACTTATGATGATTTTCTTCTTATGATCTATTTTTTGATTAATCATTAAAAAAATAAAGTTTAGTTAATTTTATCTCCTTAATTTATCTTTTTGTTAATATTTATTACTAATTATAGTGCCAATTATATTCTAAAAATAACAATAATCAGTTCCTTTTTTTTGTTTTACATTTTTTTTCCATTGTCGAATTTATTATAATTGGCGTAAGCCTTAAATTTCCATCTCTTAAATGTAATAATCATTAATCTGAAATATTAAATTTAACCTTCTGTTTTAAAGTCGTTTTCTTTTTTCTTCATCTTAATTCTGATTTTTAATTGTATTAAACTTTCATTCCAAAATATTCCTCTAAATCTAATAAGTCAATGAAATATCTGTAAGACGTTGGAATCTCATGAAATCTGATACATTTTTTATTTCTTAGCTTATTTCAGTCGATATAATCTCGAATTATTAACTTTAATATACATTTTATTAAAACCCAAAGAGTTTTGAACTTATTTAAGGATCTCTATTAGTGAAAGCTTATCTATTATATTTCTTCTCTAGCGTTGTTAAAAAATTTTAAGACTGATTGTATTGCATTTTATTGCACAAAAAGAAAATCCATAATAAAAATATTATATACCTATATAGCTCTTTGGCATAAAAATATTATATGATTGATAATGAAATAGAATGATAAGAAGCTTTAAACTAATTTCTAAAATTGGTAGAATTGATAAATATAATTTTATTCTAAAAAAAAGAGTTAATTAATATTATTACTGCTCTTCCATTTACACATCTAAACGAAAAACTAGATATATATCATTATCAAAGTTGGAGTTATCGAAATAATTGTTAAAGGTATAGTAGAGTAGTAACAATTATTATTGCTTTTTAAAATCTCCTTATAATATATAAGTAGTTTATAATCTAGTTGATTGTTAACTTGTCACTGATAAGGAGATTATATATTCTGAGGCTGAATTATTTTATCAAACAAGAGCATTGATATTAAATAAATCATAAAGATGATTATTATTTAATAAAATGCAAAATGTATTACAAATCAACTCGAGTTCATGATGTTCATCCAGAACAACTCTATTAAAAAATATTCTCATAACAGATGTTATAATTCCTCCAGGATCAAGCGTCAAAGTTAAATTTCATTATTTATTTTGGAGTTTTAATTATTATTAAAGGAAGAAGGGAAAACGTTAAGTATATATCAGAAAGTTTCTATCCGTAGTTTTTCTAATTGTACTTCTTACAAAGTAAAATAACAACGAAAGAAAGATTTATATAAATATTATGACTTTCTTAGCCAACTTGATGATTTTACAACTGATTATACTTTATATAAGAGGCTTGGTAGGACAGATATAAAATTTAATAGTATATATCACAAACATCAAAAGAGGATTAATTTTTCAAATTTGAAAATCTTATGGAGCGCTGAAATTAGCTCGCTTAGTGGTGAGAATTAGATTTTTAGTGTTCATATTCCAAAAACCTTCAAGGATATTTCAGCTCAAAATACTTTCTTTTCCCTATGATTTGGGTTGATAATATTTTTTAATTTCTTCATCTGCAAGTAAGTTAAATTTACTGCATTCAAGCAACGGGTATTTTAGATCACAATTTCTAAAGTTAAATATATTAAAATCAGAAAAAGTATTGAAGCGCAAAATTGTATCAACAACCTCTTATATAGTTTTCTCAAATGATGAAGAATTTTAATTTTATTATACTGGTGTTGGTAAAAGAGATGGAGTTTCATTGATTTATTAAGTTATGCAAATTCAAGATTTATGTCTCTAGTACAGATTCAAGCTAATTCGTGTATGAAGAGGAAAATGTTGCATATACTTTACAATTGATGAAAAAAAACGGACCAAATTTCAATTCACAAATTCAGACCTCAAAAAATCCAACTTTCCAACTTCCAAAAATCTAAAAAAATTAAAACAACAAGAAATTTCTTATATGTTTATAGCAGTGAAATTGATATATCTGATTGCATATATATATAGATTCTATGTAAATCAAATAGATATTTTATATCAGATGATCGGACCTAACTTCTCAAGCTTTAAAGTCTTCAATACTATCTGTATTTAGGAGTATGAATTAGTTTTAATATGATTTAATGAACTAAAGAGAATTCTTATAAATCGAATGATTATTATTAAAAATCTTAATCATTATTCTTTTTGTATATCATAATAGATTTATCATCAGAAGCTATCTTTAATAACCAAAAGTAAATCTATTATCAAATTTTAGAGAATTCATTGTGACATTACAAATTGAAATTTGTTACTTGTAAAAATTAGAGTATTCCTAAATGGACTCAAGGCTATTTGAGGATACCAGATTAACAAAGGAATATTATGAAAATAAGGTGGTATCACTATAAACAGCCAAATGATCACACAAAATTAAGAGGTATGGATCAAAACTAATTTTTAGATTTTGAGAAGGCTAAATATTTGGTAATAAGTTTTGAATGATCTACAACTAATTGCGTAGATTTTCTAAGAGCGAAAAAATAATAAGTAAGAGAATTATTAGAATTTTGTTGATAACTGTGAATTATTAGTTGATATTTGGAGCAAGCCCAATTATTTGAATTTACATAAAGAAGGGGAAGAAAAGGAGTAATTTGGATTTTTTTCTTCGTATTCATTGCGTCAGATGGTATAGAAGGAATTCAATTAATTGTGTACGAATTTATGAATAGGATCGAATATTAAAGTACCAACTCATAAGCCAATATATCATTATTGAGAACGATAAAGAACGAGAATTAAGAATAGTTGTTTCAAAAATGTAATAAACATATTAAGAATCAAATAATTCATACTAGTGATAAGAGTAAGAGTAAGCAAACATTGAATTTGATTTCAAAAAAAATATGTGTAAGAGGCATTATGATTATTTGTGAAAAAAGAAATTTTATCCTTGAGAAGAATGTGATGAATATAGAGAGTTTTCAGCCAAATTATATTTGTAAGCTGCCAATTGCTGTGCAATCTTTACTTAGAGTATTTCTGTCTAACTCTAAATTTATTTTACCTTAACAATATAAGAGGAAAAAAGGATCATAAATTATTAACTGTGTTAATTGTTAAAGTTCAATATTCACAACTATTTGTAGGCTTGTTGTTTATGATAGACCAAACCAGCCTTTTAATTATACTTTTTGAAAAACAATCAGAATTTCTTTACAACATCATTTCGCAATGTGATTAAGGATTCTTAAATAGAAGATTAATAAAGTTAATAATATTAAATCTAATCTTCAGTTTTTGAATTAAATAGGAAGGTTCCTTAAAATATTTCTTGAAGATTTCTTAATATACTGATATTGAGAAAAAACAGCAAAGTTATAATTAATTAATTATCAAATGTTTTTATATAAATATATTATCTTTTTATTAGTACGATTTGAGAATTTCATAGTGTTTTTGCCGCAATGTAAGATAAACAGAACAATTATT